CAATATGCTACAGCAATTAAAAATATCCGTCCAGAGACCAGGACTAGGTTTAGTTGGTACATGTTGAAATACTTGTATGCAGTGGGTGCAGCAAGCAGGCTGTTATTGTCCACCCCATATTTTATACTTACCTTATCTTAGCTATAAATATGTATAAAATAGCTAAAAACTGCAAATGTATGGGCCTGGATAAATACTTAAAATCTTGTTCCAGACATTTTTTTACATTAATATTATAACCAAAGATCTAACCTCATATTATGACCTTCCAGAGGTAAAATGTGTTGAATCTTCAAACCAGTTGAATATTGTTTCTGCAAAATAGAAAAATAAATATATTTCAACTTTAAACTATAACAAAATTATATATTTCTTTGAATTTTTATTATGAATTATATTCTTTTTATACCTTTTTAACCCTTTAATTTTTAAATTAAATTAAATTTTTAATTTAACCCTTTAAATTAACCCTTTAATTTAACTAATCACTTCCATTAGTTAACAAATTTTAACAAATTAAAGATAAAACCTACGTCATGTTTTTATTTCAAAAAAATTAACAAGTCTACATTTTTAGGCAATAATCTATTGCGCCTAGCGCTTAGTATTTGCCCTGCTTTGGAAAAAATGCGTTCTGCTGACACTGAGGTTGCAGGAACAATTGAATACTTAAGCGCAATGTCACTCAGTAGCACTAATACGACCTTGTGTTCATTCCAAAACATAGTCACATTACTCTTCAAACCTTGATGAGGCATACTTATGTACTGCCTCATTAAAGATGTAGCACTACTTGTTGTTGTTGATTGTGACTGAACATTAGTCACTCTTGATTGCAAAAATTCCACACATTATCGACTTCTCCAGTTTGATCCACTTCGTGTTGTTCAGTTTGTTCTGTAAATAAGTATAATATGATTATTTTATATGAGTGTCTATTTTTAAAATGCAATTTTTCTACAAAAAGATTTAATCACATTTTAGACTAATAATATTTTTATTGAAAGTTATTAATGATGAAACACATTTGGTATGTATTTCCATTTTATAAGCTATTTATTTTTTCATAATATGTAACTAAAATAATGTGAGTTAGATAATTTTATCTTATGGATTTTATTACAAATAATTTAAATTTATTATTTACCAGTGTTTGATATATTTCTAATTAAAGCAGATGTTTCAGCAATCAAAAATAACTCTGTTTCATTAGCGTTCTGTTCCACCCCAAATGCAACTTTTTTGCACCTTGGGTCCAACAATGTGGCTCTAGAATCGGTGYGCCATAATATCCTTTGATAATCGCGATGTTTATTGGTCATTAATATTTGCCGATACATCTTAACTATATCGGCCGTTAAGACATAGATATGAGTCCGAAATCGCGAAATAATGTATAATAACTCGTCTTGGATAACGGCGCCCTTTAATAACACATYATTAAGACTAATACCATTTTCTGTTTTACAAGACTCGTCGAACACTACTCGCAGTTTTGTAGACGTGCTACAGTCCTTCCTTACGGCATGGTGCGGCAAATAGCATATTTGATCTGCGTTTTCGGATTGCTCATTATCATCCAATCTGCTCATATGGTTTAATGACTCATACTCTTTCATAAAAGAAAAATATTCTTCCTTTAATTTTTTATCTTTCTGGAATTTACGTTMTATTGCTAAAAAACGGCGTTTAGCAATTTCGTACGATTTTCCCAGTTTTGTTGCGTTGTCCCGAAACGGCAAGTGTACGACAAAACGTCCTTCGTCATTTCTAATAACGGTATTTTTAAAATATTTTTGACACGTACGTTCCTCGATTGTATAAGGTTGTGTGTCGCTTACGTCTTCTATCAACCAAAATTGCTGTAATACGTTCTCTAGTGTAGGCTCACTTTCGGTCGTGCTAAAAAATGCGTTCGACGTCGATATTTTTGATAACTTATTTTCCGATATTGGTCCAGCAGCTACCCATCCAATTACTGTTTCTTGGAACAACGGTCCGTTAGTCGAAGGACGTGTTTGTCCGTCGCATAAAAATTCATAAAAATGTGTTGCACCCAATAATATGTCAATTTTTTGGGGCGTATTAAAATGTGGATCGGCCAATTTAATATTATCGGGAATATTGTATATGGTTTTTATATTTCGTGGAGGTAATTGACCCGTWATCTTTGGTACCACTATCATCGGTAAATACACCGAGTAATCACTTACGCGAGATTTTATTTTTAGCCATACTGCCGACGACGCATGTTGTACTATTTCCCCGATAC